CCAGAAATCAAAAGGCGATTGAAGGTTGTAGCAAGATATATTTGTTGGCGATATCGTGGTATCGAAAGAATACCGAGATCGTGCCAAAGGAGTACAAGTGGAACTACTGAACAAACATAAATTCGTGCAAAGTCACAACCAGCGGAAGAATGTATGTTCTTAGTACAGTCAAACAAACAATTGCAGTATAACAATCCTTAGTACGATTGGTTATAATAGTAATTTTTTCCATTACACCAATCGCGTTTTGTTGATAAAAGTACGTCACTACAAGGTAATTAGTTTAGTTGCTATTGGATAATAAATTTCCACAACTTCTTTTGCTATTCATTGTAATTCAACAATGGGGTCGGACGTTATATCGTTTGATGCTCTACATGGATTCAATCAGCCTTCTAGTATGGAGTTACGAACTGATGGTATTGATGCTAATTTTTTATGCCAAGTATCTCTTTGTTTCATGTCTGTAACCTTGATCTGATTTCACTCCCTACCGAAAAATGCTATTGCATGCAAAACTGAACACTTACGAAATATAGGTATGCACTCATGACTCTACAAACGTTATGGTGATATAAGTGGATTATAATAAATATGGCGAAAAAAACCAGTCGGTATTTCAAGATTGTTTTTCCTACTGATTTTTTATAAGAACACGCGATTCTAAACTTTCAGCTCTTTTAAATCACTTCGATTGGTGCGGTGCTGTGTTCATTCAAGGCCTTGGTTTTTTTAACTAAATGAAATATACCTAATAAATGAGTTAAATGGGACTCGTCACCATGCATCAACTTCATTTACTATGAGAATGCGTTTGACAGTGTTGACAGAAGGACCTTGTGAAACCTTCGTCGGCAATATTATGTACCTGAGATCGTCAACACTATTCCGAATTCATACGATGCATTACAGTGCGAAGTCGTGCATTGAGGACAACTGACAGATGCATTTCAAGTAAAGGCCGGCCTCAGACAAGACTGTCTACTCTCCCCCTTCCTCTTCATTCTGATGGTCGACCGATTTATGGATACTTCGACATCTGAGTGAAAGCAAGCAATTAAATGGACGGCTCAGAATCACATATACGATTCAGACTTCGCAGATGACCTGCCCCTTCTAGCCCATACACACGAACAAATTCAGACGAAGACAACTAGTGTAGCAGTAACTTCTGCATCAGTAGGCCTCAATATATACAAGGTCCTCAAATGCAACATGGAGAACAGCAATCCAATCACTTTTGATGGCGAAACTCTTGAAGATTTGGACAGTTTTACGTACCTGTGAAGCATCATCGATGAACAAGGAGGATCTGATGCAGACGTAAAGGTGAGGATTGACAGAGCAAGGCCAGCATTCCTACAAATGGAGAAAACATGGAACTCAAAACAACTGTCTGTCAACCAATATCAAAGTCTGAATATTCAATACGAACATCATGACAGTCCTACTGTACGGAGCTGTAACTTGGAGAACTACTACAACCGCCATCGAGAAGGTATAAGTATTTATAAGTAGTTGTCTTCGCAAGACTTTCAATATCCGTTTGCCGGATACCGTCAGTAACAGCCTACTGTGGGGGAGGACAAACTAGCTTCCTTTTGAAGAGGAAATCAGAAAACGACCTTGGAGGTGGATAGGACATACATTTATAAAACTGCACCATGAGGCAAGCCCTAACTTTGAATCCTGAGTGGAAACGGAAAGGAGGAAGAGGGCACCACTTCGTGAATCGGAAATAGACATGAAAGGGAAAAGTAGCAACTGGAAGAAACTGGAAAGGATCGCCCAGCACAGGGTTGGATGGAGAGTACTGGTGAGCAACCTATGCCCCTCCGCGAGGAATAACAGATGTAAGTAAGTAAATGTGTAAGTAAGTGGGGAAATAACATTATTAGTCGTTATTATCTCTGTAGACATAATTTAGTCTCAAAACGTTTTGATTTCTCCAAAATTCGAAATACCTTAATTTTTCAAGATTTGAAGCCATTGTTTTTTGAGCAATAACGCTTCTTGACAACTTTGCTTTTGCATTTGTGTATGCAATAAAAATCATGATTTTTCAAAAACACTACCCTGGTAAGCGAAGTTGTGAATTCTATGTACATGTAGTAGCGTAGCTTAATGTACTGTTTTCATATTCTCTAATCCAGAGTTAAATATGAGATAAGTGGTGTTTGGTACAGGTCACTACAATCATCACACAAGTCCTTCGAAACGGCTTTTCAAACTTCTGTCTTGTGATCAACCTTTAAAGTTATGGAAAGTCTAGCTTGTAATGACCGGCGCGGCTACATATTGTCTGTGAATTTGTTTGTACCTGAAAACGAGTGTTTCAACTTTTTTAACCCCTTATACCTGACTTGTCTTTACTCACATTAAATATATTATTCTATTGTTAGCTTAGAAGTGCTTCTTCCAGACATTATGTTTTTAATTGTTATGATACGATGAGCCAGTGTAGACGATGATGTGACTTTTACGTAAGATCTTACAGATTAGGCAGTCTCATCATGACAAATCTACAATTAACGATCAGGTTTATTATTAGAACAGTACTAATAACGAAGTAAGCCATAATTCTACAAGTCCTTCAACGTAGGATTTACTAGTGCCAATCACCTATAGAGGTTATCTATGTGACTATTCGAGTTGGACAGGAAATGTGTGGCTTCAAAGCTCATGTCTGGATTAAACCTAATGGTTAGCACCTTAGGTGGATTAATCTCTCGTCATATTCGGTACTACGGCTTCTTTGATGGCAGTATATCATGAAGAAAGATATCGAAAAAATGTATTGGTAAAGATAGGTGCAAGAAACAGTGAGATCACTGCCTTATGGGCCGATTCATCATACGCGAGTGACTGCTAAGGATTGATTGTGTTTAACGTCAATGATGATCAGAAAACTGTTTTGTATTTAGTGACCTGACTAACGGATTAGTTGGCCAGAACCAGTCAATATTCCACTTTCTCTACAGTAGGAAATATAAGGGCAGGGGAACTCTTATCCACGAGAAAATTTAACCAACTATTTTCTTTACTTTCTGAAGTGTTCAAAACAAATTTATTTGTGAAGTAAAATTTTATCTTGACTAAGAACTCAGAACAACATTTTGATCGATCTAATACTTATATTATTTCTTAAATAGAGCAAGAACAAAGATTGGTGCAGAATAATATGAATTCATTTTATTTCGTTAGGTTCTCATCAGCTGCTTACAACCTAAATTATTTGAAAATTCAAATTATTACAGATATTGACATATTTATATATAAGAGTGTGATTAAGGATCAATACATGTGTATGATGATCTAGCAAGCAAAGATTCAGATAGAGTTAATGAGCTCATAAAATGTTTGATTCGAATAAATAAATAAAGATTGAGAGGGAAAGTTCTGGAACATTGAATTAGTGATTAGAACTCATGAAAATAGATTAATGGTAATAAAGAAAATATGAATTGAAATCAATCATTTATGTATGGTGTAATTTATACTACAGAAAGAGTTGCAATAATGACGCACTAAATAAATAAATAGGAGCAAATGAATAGAAAGGGTGGCGGTTATTGTTACCAGGGTAAAGAAAGATTTATTACTGTCTCCTTTTGTACACATAGATCTGGTTTTAAACGTTTGATTGCTAACGCTTCAGCGAATTTCAAAAGGTTCGAGTTTGATTGTTTGTTAATCACCTTGAAGGACTTCAGTATATCAGCTTTATGTCCTGTATCAAGGAGATGTCTTGCGATAGCACTGTTGAATGTGTTCAATCCATTTAACCTTAAACTTTTCGGAATATGTTCTTTGAATCGGACGTAGGCTCTCCTTTCTGTTCTACCAATGTAACTGCTTTGGCAGGTAAATGTAAATTTGTATACACAGTTGGTGGTAACATGAAAGGGATACCTGTCGACCTTTGATTGTGTCAAAGAGCATGTTGTTTTGGACAGGACAATCAATTTCGCTGCAGGATAAGTTCTTGTCAGTGCAGTTTTTAGTCTCATATTGATTGATCCTGTGACATCGTCACCTTTGAATTGAAGTTTAATAAAAATAGGCTTTTTATTTGCTGTAATTTCTTTCGGTTTTTTATCTTCACATTTGCCGTATTTCTCAATAAATTTCAGTGGGTATCCGTTATTCTTTAAACATTTTTTAACATTCATAACTTCCTCTTCTAGTGTATCGGAAGTACATATTCTTTCTGTTCTGTAAAACAGTGTTTTGACCAGTGCCTTTTTGTAACTGATTGGACAAAAGCTATTGAAATTAAGATAACTACCATTCCATGTGTCTTTCTTATAAACTGAACGTTGAACTGTACCATCTTTTCTTCTTTTCATCGCGATATCGAGAAAATGGAACTTGTTTTCTTTTTCATGTTCCATAGTGAAATGGATATTCGGATGTGCTTCGTTGAAAAACTCTAGCAGATTTATTGCATGTTGTTTATTATTACATACGATGAAGGTATCATCAACATATCTCGAATAATACGTCATTTCATCAATCGCTCGTTTGAGTTTTGTTCTTTCGAGGTTAGCCATGAAAATATCTGCTAGGACAGGACCTAACGGACTTCCCATCGCTACACCATCGGTTTGTTTGTATATGATATCGTTGAACTGGAACTGAACATCTTTTGTACAAATGAGTAATAGTCGTTTGAATTCTGGTACTGGTAGAGGTAGGATGTCAGAACGTTGACAAATTATGTCTATGGTCTCAAGAAGTGGTATTTTTGTAAACAAAGATGTTACATCAAAAGAAACCATAAACTTACCAGCAATATTTATGTGATTCATGCTGTCAGCAAATACAAATGAATCCTTTAGTGTATAGGTGGCTACTCGTTGACGCACTGGTTCTAACTTATCTGCCAACCATAGCTGATTAGCACCAAATATAAGATTCCGTTATTCTCGTTCGTAATCTCGTCCTCGACCATTTTGTCGTTTAAACCAAATCCGGTGTGGCAATCGTTTTAATGCATCACAATAATCATTGGCCGGCTACCCGGGTATTTCGTTCCAGCTCTTGAAAGTCGTGGTTCTTTGACTAGTAGACATTGTGATCATGTAGATTTATCACTGTTTGCATCACTTAGCGTCCACATGTCCAAGCGAAGACGGGTAAGTGTTTAATTGATTAGTTTATTTGTATGAAGCGAGATTTGGACTTGTCTAGTTCTAGTAGTAGTTCGGATTGCATTTATGACAATTTATTGTGGAAGTTTGTTGACGAAAATTATGAATTTTTGATAAATGACGACTTCCTGGAGCATTGCAAGGTAATCATATCTTGTAGCTTTGGATTTTTCAGCACTCCGCTTGCGATGAAAAGTCGACCCCACCAGCTGATTCCTCTTTTGAATCTTGCATTGTTTTACTGGAAGATTTAAGTGAGTTGCTTCGTAATCTTCGTCAACGTATGGAATTTGACGGCCCTGGAAACTTCCAGAAGTACTTAGAAACGGTAAGTTACCCTCAATTTATTATGAATTTATGTCTTCAGTCTTCAGTAATAAAGATAGGAGGTCTATCGACCTATATAAATTCTTGCAGTTTGCAATACTGTGGAGGTCCAATCTCGTTTTGAATGTTTTAACAGAAGGTGCTGATATTACGCGTTCTGTTAAAGAATTTCAGTAATTCACTACTCATTGTGCGAAACGATACTCCAGACGTAAACTATTTGATCTCGGTTTTTGAACTTTCTTCGTATGTCCTCTCAAATGATCAGTCCTATACGGAAGTAAAAGATAAGACATGTTAATACCAAAGTCATCGTTCAGTATACGATAAGCCAATATTAGATCACCCCGTACTCTACGGTAAGATAACGGAAATAAGTTGAGGTGTCCTAGTCTGTATTCATAAGATAGGCCAGATAGATCTTGTACCATCTTAGTACCTCGTCGCTGAACTCTTTCCAGCATCTCTGCTTCACACTTAGAACAAGAATTCGCTGTTTGAATCCCATATTCTAAATGTGGTCGCACATAAATCGGGTATAATAATCTAAACATTTCATCATCTAAATACTGGAAAGACCTACGAATAGACCATAATACCCTATAGCCTTTTGCAGCAGCAGCCTTACAGTGACTAGTGGTTTTGGGATCACTTCTTAATATCACTCCTAAATGTTTATAGTTTCTTAATTTGGGTGGCACGAATCCCTATATTGTGTAGTGATACGATTCATCATAGTTATTTATTTGTATCATTACACTCTTATTAGAATATACTTCTAGTGACAACTTGTCCAACCATGCCACCAATGAGCTAAGATCACCCTGTAATACTGTCCTATCCGACATACTGTGTATGGGTCTCCAACTTTTTATGTCATCAACGAAGAGTAGAACGGATGATTTCGCTATAGTTGGTAATTCATTTATATAAAGTAAAAAGAGAAGGGGACCGAGGATTGTACATTGAGGAACTCCACTTTTTACAGGTACCCACGAGGATAGAGCCCCATTTACCCTTACCCTTTGTCTCCTGTCATGGAAAGTTACTTATCCAATCTACGACTGTATAATGGATTCCAAAACGTTCCAGTTTGAATTTAAGACCAGAATGGGAAACTTTATCGAAGAACTTACTTAGATCTAGGAAGATCACATCCACAGGAATATGTTGGTCTTTTGCAGCAGCCCAATATTCTCTTGCAATGAGAAGATTTGTCAGGCATGATAGGCCTTTCCGAAAACCATGTTGTTCCCTGGAGAAAAGATTATGCCCTTCAACACAGTTTATAACAGATATCCGAATGATTTTTTCCATCAGTTTTACAACTGCACTAGTTAAGCTAACGGGTTTATAGTTACTAAATCCCTATTTCCAGCCTTATAAACCGGACTTATTATAGTGTCTTTCCAGTCTCTGGGCCGTCTGGACTGCCTCAGAGACGTGTCAAACAGTATCGCTAATGTTTCAGCAATTACATCTGATATGGCTTTCATAATCCTAGGATGAATACCATCAGGACCACTGGACTTATCAGGTTTGAGATGCTGAAGTAGCCTTAAAACAGTACCTTCCTCAATGACTACAGGGTCCATCAGCGAGCCAACGCGGTCACAATGAATCGTTGGTCGTTCCTCATTACCGATAGAAAACACTTTGCTGAAATGTTCCGATAAAGCTTCAGCTTTTTCGGTATCATTTTCTGCCAAGATTAACGTATTTTCTTGTATCAAAAGTGTTGGAATTTCATCTCTTCTCTGAGTTTGCCTTTTTATACACGAAAATAACGGTTTCGGACTATATCTAGAATCCCTAACCGATTATTTTTCATATGATTATCTAGTCTTACTTATTAACACTTTACAGGCATTCCTAATCTTACAATCACTGGATCTGTATTGTTCTAAGACAGTAGAGATGAACATATTCCAGTGCTTCTTCCTTTTTCTAAGAAGTTTCCTGACTGTTTTAGTTATTCATGGTGTACTGTTATTCGGTCTTCGCGGTACCAGGTATGATATGAACGGAAACGTAACTAAACTAAACTTAACTTTAAATACAGAACATCTACAAACCAATTTGTCTTAGCAGCGCATTCCTGAATGGCTGATATGTTAGCTTTCCATACATTTGGGCGGGATGTAACCTGATCGTATAACATGTCCCTAGTTCTAAGCATGAATGACAAAACAGCGTGATCACTGTTCACTAACGGCGGAAGAATATTTAGGTCGACAATATCCTCAGTATCATGAGTGATTACCAGGTCCAACAGAGAAGAACCTTGGCTAGCACCAAAATGTGTGGATTGAACTTATATATTAAAACTACAGTCCATGATAAGAAAGAACTCTGTGAAGAACAATTCGCAAAATTATTAAATGAAGTTCACTGCTTTTCGGTACGAGTCTAGTTTATGCGACTAAGTTGCTTTGAAATAGTTGCCTACTTTAGTAAGTGAACGAAACGTGACATTTCTCTGTCACTATGTTTGTCTTTTAGACCATCCGTGCTTTGTATTTGTCGAGGTTATCTGATGGATTTAGTAATTTTCGTTTTGCAAATTAGCATGATGCGACGTCAAACTTCCGAATTACTGGTTGTTTCATAAGTCGCGCTATTTGATCTATATGTAGGCATTAAAAAACAGGTTCAATTCGTAAGTTGAGGTAGTAACAGTATTACTGCTAATAGAAAGGATTGGTCGTTCAAGACACACTTTAACAACATACAAACCAGTGAAATAAAGAAGTATCAGTTCTTCATGAGCTTAAAATTTGGGGGAAAACAATGAGTAGATGTGCTTGAGCAATTACAAATTATTTTGAGTTATGTCATTCAAAATCTCTAGCCATCGAGTGCATTAATCACGCCGACACGTCTGTTAACATGACTCAGTTCAGTTGTCAATGAACTCATGGGCTGGGTTCGCGTGATTGTTGTAATTAGTGGTTGGAATCTTCGAATTACATAGCTTATAGGTTTTCAATCTCTGAATTCGCACCATTATGCTCAGTTAATAACTCTACTATATTTTAAGTTTCAACGAATAGCGTTCGTCATGACGTCGTTTATTTATCCCCATAAAAATAACACCTTTATGAAAATGGAAACCTCGGTTGTCCAGTAAGTTTTTTGAAAATTCATAATGGAAGCTTATACAGCAAGTTAAGTTTGTAACCGTTTGGTTATAATCCAATGAAATGATATGATTAATTATTTGAAACTATTCTCTGCTTTTGTTAGCCACTTCGTATGTGGATATCAAGATTTCAGACTGTTTGAAAACTCAGTACTTTGGAAATATTGTAATACAAACGTGAGAACGTCGTTTCTTTCGAACGTTGATTGTTAGTTTTTCTGCTATATCAACGTTAGGTTTATGTATACCTGAAATTTCACCAAGATACTTTCTTTTCTACAGACTCTTACAAATGAAATTCAGCACTATGAAAGAAGAAAACATGCTATCATTAACTCAATACTGTCCACCTTAGGTGACAAATTCCAGAGCCCACTACCACCATCAGAATTACGCAACTTTTCCGTAGCTTCTGATCTAATCCCTAAGGAACTCGACCAGAAGTCTGATAATCTTTTACGTATATTGGGTGAAATTCAACAGGAGTGGGATGAAACTATTCGTAAGATTACACCAATCAGTCCATTCACTAACCAAATCAGCTTCTTAGAAGGTGAGTACTGACTACTTATTTTCCGATTATTCATCTGTGCAATACTAAGAAATTTTATTGTTTGGTCTTTTTATAAATGAATGATTTTCACTAACATTTAGGACTGATCCGCTTACAGATGAATAACCTGTGTGTTTACCGACTAATTACCTTTCACATTCTACATACATTCTTCGCTGAATAGGTTTTATCAGTTTCCATCGTTTGTTTTGTTTTTTTCTAAGATTTTCTTTTTTTGAAAGTAATAAGTTGACTTTCTGCGTTGGTGATAATCACATTTTTGAAATGTGGAATTTATTTCTACCTAGGCTACATAAGATTACGGCAAAGTTATTTTCGGTTTTGTTTGAGCATTGATTTTATCTTGCGAACTTGCAACATATGAATGACATTGCAATATATCTTCTATGGTTTATATCGAAATCTTTAAAAATTTGATCTACCACTTCAAGCTCCCTTGCTGATATTCACCATAACATTTCGGTTTGTCCAAGTATAGCCTCTCAGTTTGTGTTATTTCATCCACGAAACTCAATAATGATTCTTTGATAAGATTTAGTTTCAATTTTAATTCCTCTTTTTCGTGATTTTTAACTGCCCTTCTGTTTCTCATACCCTGTACAGTGTCTATTGGTTTATATATCAAAGTAAATAATGTTTGCTAAATTCGTCAATCATCTGTTTACTATGAAAGTTGACCTTAATGCTATCATTGTTGATATTTTTGTCATTATTATTATTATTATTATTATTATTATTATTATTATTATTATTATTATTATTATTATTATTATTATTATTGTTATTATTGTTTGAATACTAAAGAGACAACATTTAAGAGGTCATACCTAGCTTAGTCTGAATGCTTTCTGCAATAAGGCGATTTAAATAAATAGGAATGTTACCAATGTTCATATTCATTATCATTGTTGCAATGACTTGAAAGTTTATAGGTCTTTTAAATGAAGTTGCCATGTAAATGACAGTGATGATGATTAGCGCTTACTATTAACTCTAATCAAACCTACACTTCAGTACTTTGATTTTACCTATTCATTTTTATTCTGCCTAACGACTGAGAAACGATTCTGGAAGAAATTTAAATAGAATTTCTAATTGAGAAGTTTTGACCTGGAATGTTAATAAAAAGAATTATGCTGTTAAAAGGTTAAAAATATTGAGGTAGGATTTCAGTAAGGTCCATTAAATAATTATCACACTTAAATTGTATCATGAGTTAAAATCCCTACGAATTTTTACGTTCATAGAAAAAGGCGGTTTTACTCCTATATATGACTCAGTACGTAGTTAGTAAAAAAAAACACTGGAAAAAGGCCGATTCAAACAAACTAGTGTTTGTGTGCTAAAACGTGAGCAAGGTTGAAGTGACTGCTTGGTTATCTGTTCAAGAACAATAATTAAATCTTAAATGATACCATGTATCTTTCCTCATCAATTTACACCAACCACTCTAGATATGAATTTAATTCACATAAAGTGAAAGTCCTAAACAGAGGACAGATAGAAGGTTTAAGCGAAATTTTAAAAAATTAACACTCAAAGCAACCGGTATTCAATTAGAATATTGACGAAATCAATCAACCAAGTAGGTGAAGGTAAAACAACTATAAGCCTGGAGATTCTATTTATAAAACAATCATGTGGAATAAAACAGTGATAAAACAGTCGGTAGTAAAAATCAATCACATACAAGACTGTCAAGGAAAACTTTCAAAAAACATGTGGAATAACTTTCATATTTCTTCTTTCTTAAGATTCCGTGCCTCAAGACCAAACCGTCATTTTTGTTTAACTCAGTTCTTCTAAAAAATTACTTCAGCTATTACTTATTTTACCAATTGTTGTTTTCTTATTACCTCGTAAAAAGAACTACCGAAATTACATGTTCAAACGTGATTTTAACACGAACTGACAACATTTGTAAGAGTCATTGAAAACTATCATCACTAGATAGTTGTCTCATCCAAGTATGCAATTACCTCACAATTACTCACCTAAGATGTCAAAAGAGATTAAAACTGAAATATTCAAATCTCACAGCTACCATGATAACTTTAGATAATCTTAGTTCAGTCAGTCAATCAGTTACAACGTAGGACCAGGCACATAAATGCATCGGTCCACGTTGCCACACCTCATTAGCACAGCAAGACGAACACCGGATTCACAGAGGCAGTTAACTCAATGGTGTAATATATAAAGGAAAGATTTTATGTAAGGATATAGTACAGAAAGAAAGAATTAGTTCATAGAAAGAAAGATGTGAAGCAATTTTAATCTCTTAGTTTAAGGGAATATAGAAAGTGTACACACCTCTATGCCATTGTGATCGATTCTGAGCCATGTCACCAAGAGTCTCCAACCATTGGTTACGATAGTCGCGCGGACCCCAACCAAGTAGTCTGCACCTACCAATATGGTTAAGACTATAAGTTAATGACTTTAAGCACTGATGCCACGTTTTGGTTGGACCACCCCTAACTTTCTTCCAATCATCCCCAACACTAGTCAGCATTACACATCGTAGTAATCGGTGTTCAGGCATACCTAACAAGTGGCCCAACCATCTTAGTCGATGAAGATTGACAACCTCATCAACTGATTTACCGTCATTTACTAATACCCTACGTCTAACCTCACTATTACTTATCCGTCGATCCCAGAAGATGCGAGCAATATTTCTAAGACATCTGTGGTCAAATACAAGTATCTTACTGGTATCTTCTACTATTAATGGCCACATTTAATCGTCTTAGTTGGAATTCAAGGATGCAAATTTCCCACTTCAGCAAATTCTCTGACGTGATATGATGATGAAAATCACTTTCAAAGAATACAGAATTTCTACAAAATCATCTTAGTTAATAAATCTTTAATTTAACGTTGAAGATTTTGTCAATGAAGTGTTTTGTCTCCAAAATTTAAAGAAAACGTCACCATTGTTTCTACTGATTATAAGGGTTGTCAATCAGACAAGAAGAAAAGTGTATCCATTTTTGGAGTAAACCAATGAAAATGTCGAACTATATTTTGCATCATCAACTTTTAAGGTCACTCGAAACAAACATTTCATAAGAGAAGAGGTCACGTAAACTCCTTTTTTCCTTTTGTTAACCGATGTTCAATTCTTTATTGATCAATGTTTTCTTCGATTTTACAAGTAAGCTAAATGGAAAACTTTTATGTATACCTATTCTTACAAGGAAATACCTGTATTCGAGTCGAATTAAGTACTTTACTTACCAAGAAGACTGGCTTACTTTTATAGTTTCAGCTGATGCTCCTTGTCGTCTTTCATTCTATTCCTAAGCACACAGTAGCAACAGAACCAAGTTAGTTTTGACTCTCTTCTAGTTTTTAGGAATGATTTACTTATCCGTAGCACATCTGTCGAAAAAGCGAATATATGCAACTTGTTCTTGTATGGTGAAGATTGAATATCTCGATTACGAATTTGACCATGCCTTTATTATATTTTGTTCATATCAGAGGTACAGAGCTGATGTAAGTCGGTAAATGATTTAAAAATAGGCAGTGTAGAAATTAAGGATTTTTATCGGTAATGAATAACGTGGCTACGATATATGCTGTTCATTCGAACTTGCTTCTCACTCCAGAGTCTTACGACTACTGGAATAGTATTTAAGTATAAAGTGGTTGGCTATTTAGACTCATTCACAGTGTCCACTTCTTAAGTTACAAAGTTTGGTTCTCGATTTGTGTCTGAATCGGGGTATAGGATTAGTGGTTATGCAATAAATTTTGATAATTAACCACAATTATTTTCGGATTATTGATTGTCTTAAGAAAGTGAACAAAAGGTTACCTCGTTTATATGCATACGTTTATATTATTCTAAATGGTATCAAGATAACGGATTAGCAGAATAGGAACACGTCAATGTAGAGGTTTGAGAAAACATAAAGATACAGATTGGGAAGAGTGTGCAGGGAATTAAAAATAGTTAAAACTTTTAAAAAATTGAAATCCGATAACTTTGATTTCACGCACTTACCAAAGTACTTGTACTTAATAGGTTGCACGATTGAAAACACTGGCCCTGATCGTTTACTTTTATATTTCTAGATCTTTCTGACACATAATTTTCTACTTATGCTCATTGCAAATTCTTAACTTATCATAGTTTTCAAATCACGAACTGATTTTAGTGAGACCATCATTGAAAATCTGGAAGCACTGGACGGTCGTTTTGTCCTAATATGGGACTCTTGATCAGTGCGCATTCACGACCCTGTATCTAGGAATGGGACTTAGGACCATCTGTGTGGATCACGAACGCTTAACATCCAGAACACTGGGTTGACATTCAACATTGTTAATACATAACTTCGAACAGTTCTCTATTTTTGTTTTTGTGACGTTTTTCTATTTCCTAATAACTTTCGAAATGAAAGAGATTGACCAATCTCTGTTTCTTGCTGCACACAATTGTTCAGTAGTGATTATCACATTGGAAACAAATTAGTAACTTTCAAGTGTTTTTTGTCAATCTAATATACTTTATTAGTTTTCGAGAAAAGTTAATCCGTCTGCTTTGAGAAAATGTAATCAGTTCAATTGTAATCAATTAGTCAATCAAAACTGCAAACAAATTATTAGTGGTAATGACTATAATTCAAATACGTAGTGTACACAATTGCTTTTTTTATCATTCACGATTGGATGTTTATTTTTGTAAACCAATATCATTGTTTGTATTGTTGTGTAGTACTTCAGTTGTTATTAAATTTATCACCACAATTATTATCTATTATTTTTACTTAGTTTCTTCGATGAAATAAACGTGTGAAAACATGAATATTTAGTAAATTAGTTTCTTTAATTGTTTGAATTAAAGTATGTTTCATCCAAAATGAACTTCTCAAATTTTTTTTACATTTAAGAAAGTAACACCAATTTTTGATACATTTATCAAGGTTGTAAGTATCATTAACAAGGTTTGACTTGATAATTTCAAA